TAATTTAATCCTGTTTTAATAAGAAAATTTAAATTTTATTGATTGATTAAAATTATATAATAATTTTTAATTAAATTAGTTATATTAGTTTCCTTAATCAGATTATTCTAATTAATTAACAATTCTTGTTTTTTTTGTTGGGCTACAAACAGGCTTTTTTTTCTAAAATTATAACCTGAATTGATTTTTATTAATTAACAAGATTTCATTCTTCTTCCGTTGCTAAGAGTTGTGAAAGGGTTCCACAAATAGTTTAGCAATAGAATTTTTATAGGTTGCTAAAGTTATAACCATAAATTGATAACCCGTTTTGCATCTTTTTCTCTTTTCTTTCTCTTTTTACTTTATATTTTATTAGGACTGTAAGATTAATATTTGTCAAGATAATGTATTTTATTTTTTATTTTTTAGTTTTAAGTATTTCGATAGAAGCAAGACAACCATGGAAGAAATTTCAATATTCAAATTATAATATAATGGTAAATTATAATTTTTTTTATATGCATAGGAATTCTAAATTTTATTTGTATTTTATTGGTTGATTAACAATATCATTAATGACAATTTAGTCTCATCCTAATTAGTAAAATTTTAATTTATTATTTGATTAAAATTATATAATAATTTTTAATTAAATTGGTTAATACTATTCAATTAAACATAAAAAACTAGAAAATATAAAAATAGAAAAGCGGAAATGTTTTTATAATCTAATCCTAAAATAAAAATCAATTATCAAATAAAGTTGAAGATTCTGTTAAAAAAATGAAATATATGTCAAAATATTTAACTCAATTGATAGAAAATTATATAAATTTTATTTTATATTAATTTAAATTACTTAAAAAAATTTAAAATAGTTCAAATAAAACTTATTTATAAAATAATTTGATAATTAAAAATAAATGATTTAAATTGTATCTCATGGTTAACTTAGCTATGTTAGCTAATTCTTATAATATACTATTTCTAAAAAAATAATAAAAATAATAAATAATTATCATTTTTTGTCTTTTTTAAAAAAAAAAAAAAAAAAAAATAATAAAAATAATAATATACTTATTCATTTTGTCTACATACATATTATAATATTTATAGTACAATATTGACTAAAAAACAACTAATTAATATACTCATTTTCCATTCAGTAATTTATCATCATTTTTATTATATTATAGAAAAATTAATAAACTATATTTAGAAAAAAAATAAAAAAGTAAGTATAACGAGTTTTAACGTGCAAAGGATGTTCTTAATATATATATATTCGGCTAAACGCATAAATATATTCCTTTACTTTGCGGAAAAAACCTTGTAGCATCCCAAACTTTGCAAGAGACCTTTTATATCTTTGAAGTTACGAATTTAATAGTAACATGTTTTGGTATTTTTAGCATTTATGTGCAAAATATTCATTTAATGTGTGGTTAGTTTAATATTTGGAACAATAATTCAGATTTTTTAATTATTTAATAAATATTTAATTTATCTAATTTTAGAAGTTTGAGTATTTAATAGAATAATTTTTGCAAGTTGAAGTATTTAATTGGCTTTATAAATTGAAGTGTTCAATAAGTTAAAGTAAAGATCGAAGGTGCTACAAGGTTTTTTTATGTAAAGTACATAAATGGATTTATGCATTAGGTTATTTATATTCAGATGAATATTTGATCAACCAATTTACAAAATTAAAACAATAGAAAACAAATCGCGACACCCAAGCGATTTAATGTACTATTATTTAAACAATATAAATTTTTCATAAATTCAAAATATCAATTATTTAGAAATTAGATCTAAAATATATGTACAGAAAAAATGAAAGAATTACCTTCTAAATGCCAACAAATTTAAATAACAAATATTAACTTTAGTTGTTGCAAACCATAAGTTATCCTCTCTTCAATATATTTGAACAAAAGCGATCTGATTAAGTATGTGGTAGAACGAATTGTACTGATAACGTATTATAAAATAATGAAAAAAAGGGAGAGAAGTAAAAAGGGAGTAGAGAGAAAATGAAGAGAATACGAAAGTGTGATTATTATTGATGAGAAGCCGTGTGTGTGTATATATATATATAACATAAGTGAACCCTAATAAAAAAATAGAATTCTATAAAAATTAAAAAGATAAAATTTCCACTAATTAAAAATAAAGACTTTTAGCTCATATAGGACATTCACTAATTTCATAACAATATTAACATTCTATACTCTAATATGTTGTTAAAACTAGCTCTCTCTCTCTCTCTCTCTCTCTCTCTTAGCTCTCTCTCTCTCTCTCTCTCTCTCTCTAACTCTCTCTCTCTCTCTCTCTCTCTCTCTCTCTCTTCTTTCTCTCTCTCTCTCTCTCTCTTCTCTCTCTCTCTCTCTCTCTCTCTCTCTCTCTCTCTCTCTCTTCTCTCTCTCTCTCCTCTCTCTCTCTCTCTCTCTCTCTCTCCTCTCTCTCTCTCTCTCTCTATATATTATATATATATATATATCTTTTTAGATTTGTTTTTCTGAATCACCTCAATCGTCTTTTTTGGTGGGCGGTGAGTTCTTTTTGTCTCTTTTTCTTATGTTTCTTTATTTTATATAGTTTTTACTTTCTATAATTTTCAGATCATATAATTAAAACTGAATTTAGCTTCTTGGATTGTAATGGGGCTCTCTCTCTCTATATATATATATATATATATATCTTTTAGATTTTGTTTTCTGAATCACCTCAATCGTCTTTTTTGGTGGGCGGTGAGTTCTTTTTGTCTCTTTTTATTGTTTTTCTTTATTTTATATAGTTTTATTTCTAATAATTTTCAGATCATATAATAAAACTTGAATTTAGCTTCTTGGATTGTAATAGGGGATATATCTTGACTTTTTTTTTTTCGAGAATTCCAACTTTTTTTCCAAAACATAGTTAATATATAACATAGAATTAAAAGTTTTAATCAGATGGAAAAACAATAGGGTAAACAAAGATTAATGACCAATCAAATGTACTGATGTGTATGAGAGTCCAACATTTACTACCCTTTTATGACTGATAATGCACTTGATTATAACCTAATTTGCTACTTCTAAATCAAGGGAATTAGGTTTCCAATCAAATATTTTAAAGTATCAATGATTGTATAAGGAATTTTGTAATTCTTCCTATTTCAATATATGGGCCGAACAAATTTAATCTTATATATGCAAAATATATATTCTTAAGGATAATATGAATATACATTGATATTATATTACTTGGTTGATTAATAAGTATCTTTATTTTTATGAAACACAATTTTTTCATATAGGTACTTGTAAAAAATTTGAAATATGGTGGGATTTTCTAGATCATTGTGAGTATTTATAATACCACATGTACAGTGATTGATATATTTGGATAAAGGGAAGGGATTATACCTTGTTAATCGAAAACCTTCTCATTAAGCTACTGTCCTTTTTAAAAAGAAGTTCAAATTATTAGGGCATTGCATGTGACTGGAAAAACTCAAACAGTCAATGATTTTTTGGTTCTTGGTTAAAGAAAGAGGAGAGAACGAAAATTTTGAAATTAAAAAGTTTTCAAGCGAGGATATAATATAGACGATTCACGTAGATGTAATGGGAATGAGCGAGGCTCGTCATGAGCAAAATATCACTGCTCAAAAATTAAGTATCATAAATAAAGTATTCCTTATTTATTTATTTATTAGAATTATTCTCAGACGATTCACATTTGTTATTACAATTATATTTCGGAGAGAGAAATTTTATGGCTTGAAGTTTGGTCAACAAATCTAAGAGATCTTTTCTCTCTCTCTTTTTTTTTTTCCTCCTTTCAGAGGAAGAGAAAGAAAGGTGTACAGGAGGCAAATTTAGTTCGTATGACATGTTGAGGAGGAAAAGGATATTTTCCGTATTAAATTCATGTGGAACTGTAGACCACGTACACAAGGTGAGGCAATCAGTTTAAATTGCACAATCTAAAGGTCAAAGCTTTAGGTTCTTTAGTCTTCTTGGACTTGATAGTTTGAAAGGTTGGAATCTTTAGATCGCACAATCTAAAGGTCAAAACTTTAGATTCTTTAGGCTTCTTGGACTTGATGGTTTGACAACTCATTTCCTTCATTGTAATCACACTCACTTGATTATATATTCAGTGCTAGTTCATTGATTCTTTCTCTTAAATTAACATTTTTGCTTTCTTTCCTATTGATCTTTAACTAATTGGGTCCAAATGCCATAAACCCATCCACATATATCATGCCATAACTTTAAGAAAATGGTCATAACTTTTTTGTTTGGCCAAATCTATCACATTTTATCATACTGAAATCCGACTACATTCAGCTCAAATACTGTATGGCCCATATAGAGGCGGCTCTCCCAACACAACAATTTTCACATTCAATGCTCGAACTTGAGACTTTTGATTAAGCGAGAAATAGTCCCAACCAACATTAGTTCATTTTATCATTCTTTACACACTATTATCTACTTCAGTTCATATCCCATCTACCAATCTTTGTCCTTCATTTCTATCTTCCTATTAGTTCTACCTAATAACATACTTTTATTGTCACATATAATCAATTTATCTATCCTTTTCGCATAGAACAATTTACACATAACATTGCAAAGTATAAATACCACCACATCTCAACACTTGGAAGACAAAAACACTTCAATCTTCTTTACTCCGCAAGCAACTTAGGCTTATGACATCTATCTATTTCATTAGTTGCAATCTTCTCTAACTCATTCTTTTTTTTTTTTTTTCTTTTCATATTACTGCTCTCTCTTTTTCTGGTTTAGTAAAAAGAAGCTTCATTTGCAAGGTTAAGCAGGTAAGTGAAAGCAAAGCTTCAATGTCTGGCTTTTTTGCTCTCGCCCTTGACTTTGTTTGCATGATCATCATAAGAGGCATAATATGCATTCTCTCTATCATTTGCAGTTCAAGACAATTCATCATAATACAATATCATAGGATGAGAATAAATTTCTTATATTAAATGCCAACCAAAAGAAAAGGAAACAGTAGGATGTTGATTAATTATTTGTAGACAAAATTAAGGCTTTGCCTTTTTGAAATATTCAGTCAGACATTTCTAATAGATATGACTTAGACTATACAGAGCAGAGCAATATTTACTTGCTAGAACAAATAGGATTCCAATTTGCTATATACTATTAAAAATAATCCTTGGTTTGTAATAATTTCTGGAGCTTTAGACAGAATCAACATTCTTCTTCTTTGTTTTTCCACATAATTTTGGCCTGTAACCATCCTCAAGGATTTTCTCAACCTCTTCAAACGTTAGGCCCTTGGTTTCAGGCACAAACCAGAAAATGGCTGCAAGTCCAATGCAAGAAATTCCAGCAAATAGGAAAAATGTGCCACCGGCACCAAGATGCTCGGTGAGAGTTAAGTATGTTTCGCTCACTATAAGATTAGCAACCCAATTCGACATTGCTGCAATCCCTCCACCGATGCCTCTATACTGCAGCGGGTATATTTCTGAGTTCACTATCCAAGGTATAGTACCCATTCCAGGTGCATAAGATATTATATAGAGTCCAAGAAACATAACAGCAAGGAATCCGAATCTACTTGGGCATCCCTTCTCGTAAAACACACGATGCTCAGCACGACATGCACTTCTTAGGGCCTTGGTTGCAGCCAGGCAGGCTCCTGGATGAAACTGAAAAAAAAAAAATGGCAAGTCAATCAAAATCAGACTTTCAATGGTTTGATAATTTTCAAAAAATTTTACATGATTATTGTAAATCAAGTTATAATATAGATGCACCAAAAAGGTGCTGTTTAAAGTGAGGATATATTTTGATGGGCATGTACATACTTCACTAGCCGCATTAGAACAGAAACCGCAATCTGCCTTCAAACAAGACATGCAGTTCCATTTTGAAGCATCGTTTGCTGTCAGATATATTGGACAACTAGAATTTGAACCAAAATGTCCAGATTCAACTGAATTGATTTTAGGAGAATGTACAGAAGCTTCTATAAAAACAACAGATAAGGCCACAAGGAAAGTGATGATCCCAATCATAGAAATCATCATCAGCTTTCTCCTTCCATATCTGTCCACAAAAGCCATACTAATAAGAGTGCCAAAAGTATTGAGGCCAGTAGTGACGAGAGCAAGTGCCATGGCCACGGAGTTTGATGCAAATCCTGCGAATTGAACTATTGTCGGAGCGTAATACATGACAGTGTTTATACCCACAAACTGCTGCGCAACTTGAACAGTGATGCCTGCATAGAGTCCCCTGCGGACTACAGTGTTTCTTAATGCAGCCGTTACTTTGGAGAACATGCCATTCCCAATAGCAGCTGCGCCGTCCTTTTCAGTTTCAACGGATGAAGCTAAGGCATCCATCTCCTTTTCAACCTCATCAGAAGGAAATATTTTCTCCAAGACTGCCCTTGCTTCATCTACTCTGCTCTGATTAAGGCAGAAAATAATTCATAAATGAGAAGAAATGGGATATGGCAAATAATACTTAGCAATCTAATAGTTAGAACAATTGTTCAAGAGAGGTTCTTAAAATGAAATAATAAAAATCAAGTATTTACCTAGAAAAAAAAATATCATTAAATAACTGCTTGATTTGAAAATGAAATGTCAAATTTAACTTTCAGGATTCATCAGCCAATAAAATTCACAAGCACTCACAATAACATTGCACTAAATTTTCCTACAGCAAGCTTATAATGTTATGCAAGGGCATAAAGAGGGAAAAAGGAAGTGTTAAGTCTAGATTTATAACCTTTCTACAGAGCCATCTGGGGGACTCAGGAAGTGATAACATCAGCAAAAACTGAATTAGAGCGGGAAGGGCAGCAATCCCAAGCATCCAACGCCAGGTTCCACGAGCCTGCCAATTTTGCAATATATTATAGTTTTATATATATGTTCAAAGATTCAAGAAAACAATAGCAATCACCATATCTATTACCTTGGTGAAGGCTAGATTGATAAGGTAAGACAAAAACTGTGCCCCTGTAAGTAGCAAACCATTTGAGCCAACAAGAGCTCCTCGAATTTTTGCTGGTGAGGCTTCTGAAATGTAAAGAGGAGATGAAACGGATGCCGTTCCGACACCCAAACCAACAAGAAGTCTACCCACAATTATAACCCAGGGTGCAGGAGCAGCAGCCATAACTAGTGCACCAACGAAGAAAACAACATCAGAAAATAAAATCGATATTTTTCTTCCAAACTTATCATTGGTGTATCCACCAACTGCAGCCCCAATGATAGCGCCTGCAACAGCCATACTAACAATAGTCTCCTGCTCATTAAGAAAGGCAACATCAACAATCATAATTACTGAAAATGCAAAAAGTTTTGCATAAAGTCAGTAGCAACTAACCTGTAGCCATGTTTTCTTGTTAACAGATTCAAAGTCTTCGCGAATGTAAAGCAGTGCACCAGAAATAACTCCTAAATTCAAATGATAGAAAAAAAATGGCTTCATTAACTGCAAATATATAATAACATAATCAAAGGACGACGCAAGATTTGCTGTCAAACAGGTAACCTGTATCATAACCAAACAGAAACCCTCCAATGCCTGCAGATAGTGCAAGCCTCAGAACATAAGGAGTCCGCCAGATTGTCCGCCAGCATTCTCTAAACTCGGTCTTAGTTGGTTTCACAATAGGCCCTTCAGCCATTTCTTCTGTCTGAAATGAATTCAAGAAATAATGGAAAATGAATTCAAGTAAATCGTGAACCATATATAAGCTAGCAATCATTATTAGTATAATTTCTGAAAAAAAAAAAATACCAAATCAGATTATTCAAAGAAGAATACAAAAATGCTGATTCAATCAATTTTATCATAATAGGAAAATACATATAGATAAAATTAGTATGTAATGAAAATATATTTAAGTGATACTCCCTCCGTCTCAAAATTATAGTACCACTTTCCTTTTTGGTTGTCCCGAAATAATAGTCCCATTTACAATTTAGAAATACTTTTCTTTTCACTTTCCTGCAATACACTTATATAATAAATTCGTGTGAATAATTAAACATTATTTGAATTTAATATATAATTAATTTTGAAATCTTGGTAAACTAACCAACAAATAAGAAAAAAAGATTGTAGTTAAACTAATTTAACTATAATTTGGAACTATAATTTTGGGATGGAGGGATTAACAAATAAATCCTGACTCAGACAATGTTTGCTAAACAATTCTATATCCCTGAAAGAAGAAAACAAAGCCATTAGATTAGGGATTCAAGTTCTAACAGGCCTAATCCACCGTTATTTCTTATGTGTAAAAAGGAAAAAAAAACCTAAAATAATCAATTGATCCATATTGTTTTATCACTATCAACTGAAAATGATAAATAATTAATTTCTTCTCCTCTTTTCATATATATATATATATATATATATAATTTGCTCTACCAGTTTTGCTCGCAATGAGAATCAGAGAGACAGAGTGATAGCTCGAAATAGTAAACAAGCAAAAACCAAAACCAAAACAAAAACAAATTAAACAAAAGAGAATTCTTTCTTTCCCATTGTTAATCTCTACATAGTTCATCATCCTAACTAGAATGAGAGTAAGAATCAAGAAATGTGTATATAAATCAAATAAAAAAATCCTTAATTTCTTTTAAAAAAAAAAATGCAGGCTTGGGAGATACAAGCCCTTCATCGCATACCGAAAAGAAATATTACAGAAAAGGTTGTACCTTTGCTAGATGATGATCAGACTTCTTTATCTACCTCTACAGAGCTTCTTAATTTTGCATGCAAATCTTCTCTTGTCTGCTGTATATGGATACTATATTATATTTCTGTAATCAAACGTTTTGTTTTGGAAGTTTCTAATTAACTAATAATAGAACAGAGTACTGACATCAGAGATACTAATGCCAAATGATAGTAATGCCAAGTCTTAAGATTTGGATAAATCCAAAATCCTACTCGGATTCATTTATTATGGATTAGTTCCGTTTCATTCTGTATCTTAATCCTAACTTGAAAGAGGGTTTGAATATATTACTATTTCTTAGGAATTTGGTTGAATTTGCGCTTCAACTTGTAAGCAACGTACAATTTACCTATAAATCAATTTTTATCTCCTTAAACTTCCACTAAAAAAAAATTAAAAAGCCAACTTTTATTAAAAAATATTTGATTAAAAATCAAATATAATTAATAATAATTAAACAATAAATAAATAAATAAATATCTTTCAAACCAAATATTCAATATAATCAAATATTTTCTAATATATAATTTTTTATATCAAATATTTTGTTAATTATTTTTTAAATCATAGGCAATATGCTGTTATTTTTTTATAATTATTGTTATATATTTTTAAATAATTTTTCTTTCCAATAAATGCTATTAGTTAAAAATATTGAAAATTTTTTTTTTTTTTAAAAAAGGATTATTAGTTCTTTTAGTGCAAATTTAGAGGGTAAATTGTAAAAAAAAAAATAATATTTCAGCAAATTGTATATCACTACCAAATTTAAGAGACAAATTAAACTTCATTCTTTTTTGAAAGGGAAAATGATCATTCATTAACTCATGGAAAAAAATCCAGCAAAACAAGAAGGGATTGTATCCCAAATTTGGAGCCTAGCATGATGGATGGATGCTCTTTCAAGAGTATGAGCACCCATGGTATCTTGCCTCCATACCCACCTGACACTAATATCATGCCTATTATCTAAAACTCTCCTACAATCTGATACAAGAAGACCAAATTCAGAGTAATATATGGAGGGAGAGACAAGAGCATGAACAAGATGTTGACAATTAGACAAAATACATCCATCATAAGGTAAAAAATCTTGCGCAAAAAGGAGGCAAGAATTAAGCGCGATGCCTTCAACAACAGTTGGACTGCCACCACCCTCCTAAAACCCAGATACTGCACTTTGGAACCGGCCCTTGCTATCCTCGATCACAAAGCCAAATCCGATAAAGTCCAGCGTGGAGAAAATAGCACCATCAACATGACAAATCTAGCTATGCATTAATGCAGCCACTGTCGGAGGAACATATGCATGCCGACGTAGAGCCGACGCTGCCATTACCGGATTTGCGTCACGATGCTCCCTGTTACCCCAGTCAAGACGGTACCGCCTTGCGCCATGAAAGATGTCAGCTGAAGTACTTGGCTGCTGATGCCACTGCATCTGGTTACGAGATGACCAGATTTTCCAGGCCATCACTGCTACAAACTCAGCCTCTGCCTTCCCTTGTAAATTATAGACCTGCAAAAATAAATCTGAGTATGTAGTGTTAGCATTTGGGGCATCAAATCCCCTAAGCCTCCATGCACCCACCGACCTCTCATAATGAACTAGAATATGATTAAGGTCCACCAACACATTACAAAAAAGATAGCTCCCATTAAGGTACAAGTCCCTTCTATTTAATCTTTCCTTTGTAGGAAGCACATCCCCAACAACCTTCCACATAAAATCACAAATTTTTAGAGGGAGGTCCAGGCTCCTGATAGGTATTATTTTTATAATATTTTTAATATAGTTTTTATTAGAAATTTTAGTAGTTTTAATTACTTTAATTATTTTTTATCTAATTTTATTTACTTAGTTTTATTTAATTAGTTTTAATTACTTGAATAACATTTCACTTGATCTTGGGAATCTTGTAGCATTTTTATAAAAAAATCAGTCAAAAATATAGAAAAGAGTGTACCTAAGCAAAAAGGTCGGCATGTCGTGGACGTGTTATCCAGCACCCCGTGCTGTGTTCAAGATAAATTCAACAGAGGTTTTTAATACTTGAATAACATTTCACCTTGATTCTTGGGAATCTTGTTAGCATTTTTATAAAAAAATCAGTCGAAAAATATAGAAAAGAGTGTACCTAAGCAAAAAAGGGTCGGCATGTCTGGACGTATAGAAAAGAGTGTACCTAAGCAAAAAGGTCGGCATGTCGTGGACGTGTTATCCAGCACCCCGTGCTGTGTTCAAGATAAATTCAACAGAGGTTCAGAGTTTAGCACGCCCAAGCCGTGCCAGAGAGCATGCCCATGCTACAAGAGGCTGTCAATCTCTGAACGTGCTCATCCAAGCACGGCCGGTGCTGCAACCACCTTGAGGACTCAGAGCCTAGTACGCCCAAGCAGCGCCAAATAGCACATCCATGTTGAATGCCTGACTTCATATTAGGCCGAAAACGATAACTTTAGCCCGTGCCGCTTGCATGGACCCGCATAAAATGCTTTTCTGACGTGCCAATCAAGTTTAAATCCTATTTAGATGTTGAGAGAGTCCTAATTAGGAAGAAATACAAAGCATAAACAATTTCCTATCTTTAAAAGATTTTTTATTCAATAGAGATTCACTTTCCTAAACGAACACGAAGATATTCTAGAAAGTCTATATAAAGAGAGAGACTAGCCATGATTGGGAGTGGAATCTATTCATCGTATATACCATCTCTAGTTCTATTATTTTCTAGATAATTTTCTCTCTCTTTAATACTTCAAGTATTCAAGTTGGTGTCAAGATTGAAGGAAGCCGCTCAAACCCATCGTTGAATAGTTTTTGTTTCTAAATTTTCTTTTTGTTTATTATTCTTTATGGGATTATTCACCTTCCGAAAAAAAGCTATGGAGATGTACTTTACATGTTAAATGATATGGTAGATTTTGACTACCATTGACATTGGGATCCTTCAAAGCAGGGTTGAAATCACTAATACCCTCCAAATTTTGAGCGTGAAGAAGAGAAGCAGAAGAATTTAGAGGATGTGATTGCTGTCCTTACTAAATCTCACATGGAATTTATGCATGAAACTTGTTAGAGTTTTAAGATCCAACAAGAGACAATGGAGAATTTGGAGGTACAAGCAGCGCAATTGGCAACAATGGTAGCTAATAGATATCAAGATAATAAGCGCAAGGTAAATTATGAGGAAACTTCATGGGAATTTGCACCTTTAGAATAAGTAAAGCCTACATGTGAAGAATGCAACTCCTTCGAAGACGGATTAAATCTCACTTTCTTATTTTCAGACACGATTATTAATGACCTGAAAAAAGTGAGGTACAATTGGAAGGGACATTGGGTGAGAGTTTAACTGAAGACAAGCAGAAAGCAATATTGGTCGATGAAGAAATAATTGAGACTATTGATTTGAGCTTATCAATGGTCTTTATATAGACACTACTGGAAGATCCTTTCTTTCCAATGATACCACCTTTAATAAATTCTGTTCTCCATGATCCAATACAGTTCTTTCCCTAGTTTCACAATTCAAAGCGAGATATTGTTGATAAGACAAGTATAAATTTTCTCATACTAGGCAATCTTGAGGGCATTTTCAACCAAGCCCTATGTGTGATATTACATGATATATACTATGGGCGAAAGCTGTTATTCGATAAACTTGTCAAAAGTCGAATTTAAAGACTTTAAGCAAAATGTTAATGGGAGGCAACCTATCATTTTCTTTCTTTTCCTTTGCAATTTTTTTTATTTGTATTTTTTCATTTTTTTCCCCATCTTTAAACCATTATTTTCTTTTATTTTATTGTTCTACATTCATGTTGTAGGTCAAGGAAGGATTAAAGAGGCTTGAAAACTGATTGAAAGTGCTAGAGCTTGGCAGGGCGTGCTACCTAGCACCCCCGTGCTGTCTCCAGAGAAAAATTATGCCCATAGTCAGGCTCTAATACGGGCAAGGCGTGCTACCCAGAACCCCCATGCCATGCTACAGATTCAGTGTTTACAAGGGCGAGTTGACTTCAGAAATCGCACACAAATCCTGTTGGGTAAAAACCAGAAACTTGATAACTGCAATTCTGTATCAAGTTAAACAATAAGAATAAAAAGATTAAGAGACTAAACAATAATGAAAGAAGCACTCTCGTTAGATTCCTAAAGCAAGAGAATTGTTGACTTATTTATAGACATACATATAACATAAATAATAGAAAAATATGGCACTAACAGTACTCTCGTTAGATTCCTAAAGCAAGAGAATTGTTGACTTATTTATAGACATACATATAACATAAATAATAGAAAAATATGGCACTAACAGTAATGTGCCTTGACTTGACAAACAAAGAGACAAAGTAGGAGAATTATTAGCAACTATCTAACAAAGTAAGAGCTGTCAAAAATATCCCGTTTTGAATCAACTTCTAACACACCCCCTTGATTCAAAATCACAAACTCCAAAACAAAAACTGACGTACGAATGTTTTTTTAGCGAGAGTGCTTTAGTCAGAACATCTACAAGTTGTTCTTCGGTGCTGCAATAAGTCAAGACAATTTGCTCACTTTTGACTAACTCCAGAATGAAGTGATGACGGGTGTCTATTTGTTTAGTCCTCCCATGAAAGGTTGGATTTTTTGACATTGAAATTGTGGACTTGTTATCAGAGAAAATCTCAGTTGCTTCCTTTTGTTCTTGGTTAAGATCCTTCAATAACCTTCGGAGCCAAATTGCTTGACAAGCTGAGGCAGCTGCAGCCATGTATTCTATTTCCGTTGATGACAAGGCTGCTGTTGGTTATTTTTTTGAGCTGCAAGACACTACACATGAACCAAGAACAAATACCTAACCAGAAATACTTCTTCTATCCTCAAGAGAATTTGCCCAATCGCTGTCCGTAAAGCCTTTTAACTTGAAATCCGAGCTTGCAGTATATCAAAGCTCGAAACTCAAAGTTTTTGCAACATACCGTAGAATTCTTTTTGTTGCTCCAAGATGTTGCTTAGAAGGACTGTGCTTGAACCTAGAAACAACACCAACAGAAAAGGTTGTATTTGGCCTTGTGTGAGATAAATAAATCAGTCCACCCACCAAGCTTTTATAAAATTTTCATTCTGCAGGTTCTGAACCATCATTTGTCTACCTATAATCAACTTGCCCATAGGATCTTCCTCTACCTC